TTACCATTAATACAATTTAAACATAAACATTAACAAAACATTACCATTAATACAATTTAAACATAAACATTAACAAAACATTACCATTAATACAATTTAAACATAAACATTAACAAAACATTACCATTAATACAATTTAAACATAAACATTAGCAAAACATTGCCATTAATACAATTTAAACATAAACATTAACAAAACATTACCATTCATACAATTTAAACATAAACACTAACCAGGGTTGTATATTTTCCCCAGAAGTTATATATGGTGTTTGGGTAAAAAGTATCAAAAAGAATGAAAAGAAATGATGTCACATTTTTTATTTTTTCCCCCCAATTCATTAAAAATCATTGACAAAACCCCGCCCCCTCCCCCGGGTGGCGGGGGAAGTTGTAATCCTGAAAAATATAAACCCCTGACAGTAACATTGATACAATTTGATTTATTTGTTAATCTAGGTGACGTTGTTACAGTCTGTGGTGTTGTGAAGGTGGTTGCAGACGAGGCTAGTGCTCGAAACAGGAAAATTAATTATTAACAAAAAAATTTTCAATACGCAATTTTCCTAACTAGAATATTCAAGAAGCAATTTTCCTAACTAGAATATTCAAGAAGCAACTTTCCTAATTAGAATATTTATTCAATAAGCAACTTTCCTAATTAGAATATTTATTCAAGGAGCAACTTTCCTAATTAGAATATTTATTTAAGAAGCAACTTTCATAATTAGAATATTTATTTAAGAAGCAACTTTCATAATTAGAATATATATTTCAAATATTAAAATAAATGAAATTGTTAAAGGTTTTTTTCAATTTAAAACTTTTGTATTTCTCTATTATGAGAGACTGTCTTTTTATTTTAATGTGACCCTCCGCTGAAGAAGAGTCATGTCTGATTAGTTGATAAAAAATGTTATTCTTTTGCAAGATACTAGTCTTTTTTTTTTCAGAGAAAATACAATTGAAAATAACAATTTTTAAAGATAACTTGTCTTATATCTTTATATTATATCTTTATGCTATATCTTTATGTTATATTTTTATATTATTATCTTATATCTTTATCTTATATCTTTTATCTTATATCTTTATCTTATATCTTTATCTTATATCCTTATCTTATATCTTTTATCTTATATCTTTATCTTATATCTTTTATCTTATATCTTATGTCTTTTTTATGAGACAAAGCTTTAAAGGGAACCGTTTTAAATATCACTAAACGGAGGGTCACTTAAATTACATCTTTGACTCCAATTTTTTCTACATTAAAGTTAGGTCAATGCTTTAGACAAAAAAATGGTTTGCGGATTTTAGTAATCATATTGTGTGTAGTTATTATGGAATCTTTTTGTTTTTTTAACAATACTGTTCAGCGTGGAAAGAATTTTTTTCTGTGATTCATTTATGGAAAAGTTTTATTAATAAAAATAATGAGAGTTCTCTCTTTGAATAAATCTATTGATGTGTTTACAAGAAAAAAATTAATTTTCTAATATTTAAAGCTTCCTACGTCAATAGTTTGCTTTACTGGAATGGGAGCCTAATCTTGTTCAATTAAAACTGTTATTTTTATGCATTCAATCTTGCTCTATCACTTTTCACAGGCTAAAACTTACTCACGTAGACTTAAACTTGAAATTCACAGTCAATATTGTAAAATTTAAATATTAAAGTGTATTTCTGGAGAAATCCATATTACCCAAAGAAGGGGATAACCAAGTCAAACGAAGGAATTTAAACCATCCAAGAAGGGAAACCTACTAAGTGCATTAAAAACCTGTTTTAAATAATAAAGTCAAACTCTTATCTCATGAAATGTTTGCCAGCTTTCTGCGAACTGATTTCTGATGATAGATTTTTGTTATAATATCTTTTTTTCAACAGTTTAGTTTTGGGTATTTAGAGAAAAAGTTTTTTTTGTAGTTTTGATTGAAATTTTGTCCCCTGGATCCGGATCCAGGAAGCCAAAATGTTGCGGATCCATCGGATCCGGATCCTTACGGGGGGAAAACTGGTTTAAGTCTTCGTTGTAATCAATAGTTAACTCTAGAGCTTCTGGAGCAAGTACATCAGTTTATCTACTCTATTTATCTGCCCTCTCCCTCTCCAGTAATAGGAGTAGGGGAGCTAGAACCAGCAAAATTGGTAAATATTTTATATATTTTTTGTCTTTTTCCACGTTTTTGTCAGGAGTTGTACACGTGATTATTGATAAACCACCATTGTAGAGTGGCATTTTCGATGAACAACGGTATTCTTCCCTTGTCTTAGAAACATTATGTACTATTCTGTTTGGAAAACCTTAAATATTCTAAGAAAAAAAATTTGTCTCCCCATGAATATTAATAATACACGTCACCGTTTAGAACCACAATTAGAAAAAACAGGCAAATGTGTAAGGGTACCATTCTGAATCAGACATTCCACGCTATAAATGGAAATTGAACCTTGGAGATACGTTTAAATTACAACAGAAGTTATGGAATTACGAAAATAGAATTGTAAACTCACTCGTGAGTTTCATTCAAAGTATTTATCTGTTCTTGGCTCTTAGTTGTTAAGGGCTCATTATGTTAAATTATCACATATTCATATTCTAGTATATCTATCCTTTATTATTATATTTTTACAATATGTGATTTCTTGTTTTTGACAGGGATTGATCTGACGTACACAGACTATGCAGCTATTCAAGAAATTCACGGATATGGAGATCAGATCTTTAAACTTCTTGTCAACTCACTTTGTCCCTCCATATTCGGACAGAATGTAGTCAAGGTATGCTAAAAGACATATAACCCTTATACAATATTAATGCATGGTTTATTTAAGTCCCTAATTAAAGGGACTGTAAGCGAAATTTCAAGTGACTTTCCATTTATGAAGAACCATATCTGATTCACAACGATACCTTTTATACCTTTGTCCGGACAACGGTGAGGTAGATAGATAGCTGAAGATTGAGTGCAGGGAGACTCGAGGTTACAGTGTACACTGTACTCTCCTTGCTAGTGTACACTCGCGCGGTTTTTGGCACTTAATATCCCACTTTATAAATAAGAATATCTATCAAATCCTTGATCATACAAAGGAAGAATATCTACCAAACCCTTGATCAAACAAAGGAAGAATATCTACCAAATCCATGATCAAACAAAGGAAGAATATCTACCAAATCCTTGATCAACCAAAGGTTTAAAGGGTATCGTTGTAAATCGGACATGCCACTAATTAATGGAAGGTTACTTGAAATTACGCTTACAGTCCCTTTAAGCGAATAAAAAATACCTAAAAACATTCCCGATTTACTGGTAATTGGGTGAAGGGGTGGGGCCGGGGGTAATGATTTTTGAAGTGAGGAGAATTATTTTTTAAGAAAATATATACCTCCGCCCTGGTTTAAGGTGAACCCTTAAAAATAGTAAAACGTAGAATGTAGATTTATTCTAAGAAAGTTTCCACAAACCTCGTTTCTTAAATAAAGGTGTTAAGCCTACTGTTGTGAATTGCCAAATGGTTATTTAATATTAATTTGATAATTTTATTGGTTTTACTAGGCTGTGCACCTGGGATATAACCCCTTTAATCCTTGTATTTACTAGGCTTCTCTACTCCTTGGATATAACCCCTTTAATCCTTGTATTTGTTAGGGTTCTCTACTCCTGGGATATAATCCCTTTAATCCTTGTATTTACTAGGCTATAATCCTTCTAATCCTTGTATTTACTAGGCTGCTCTACTCCTGGGATTATTTGGTGGAACTAAAAGAAAAACGACAGAAAACTTTGCAGTGAGAGGAGACCCACATATACTCATAGGTAATTAGAGGAGACCCATATATACTCATAGATAATATAGAGGAGACCCACATATACTCATATATAATATAGAGGAGACCCATATATACTCATAGGTAATATAGAGGAGACACATATATACTCATAGATAATATAGAGGAGACCCACATATACTCATAGATAATATAGAGGAGACCCACATATACTCATAGATAATATAGAGGAGACCCATATATACTCTAAGGTAATATAGATGAGACACATATAAACTCATAGATAATATAGAGGAGACCCATAAATACTCGTAGATAATATAAAGGATACCCATATATACTCAAAGATAATATAGAGGAGACCCACATATACTCATAGATAATATAGAGGAGACCCATATATACTCATAGATAACATAGAGAGCCCCATTTACTCATATATAATATACAGGAGACCCACATATACTCATAGATATTATAGATAAGACCCATATATACTCATATGATATGATATAAGAAAATTAAACCAATGATCATAAAATAATAATAATAATAGTTGGTGATCCTGGAATGGGGAAAAGTCAGATACTTAGTGCAGTTGCCGCTACTGCCCCCAGGTAGAATTCTAGAAAATCCTTTTCAAACTAATATTCACGTAAAGAAACTTAAGTTAAGCTTTTACATTAAGTCAAGCTCCATCCTGAAAAGACTAAAAAATGATTAATTTTAGAAAATGTATTTTTATGCGAGGGATAGATTAGAATAGTATATTTTCAACATTGATTTACGATGCTCTGTGTGAAAATCTGAGAAATTGGATGCTTAAAAGCAAAGATTTCCATTTCAGTTAAAATATTTGTTACCCCAAAATTCAAATGCGGATTTGATCGATTCATTAATTAATTGGTGTTTAGAGGAGTTTTCGTGACCGGGAATACCTCAACTACATCAGGGTTAACTGTTACGCTTAGCAAGGTACCATGGCAAATATATGCAAATCAGCAGGTTTGGAGCCAAGTTGCAAAATAGCAACATCGGACATCGTTGAACTACAGTGGGCTGCGTTTTTATTGTACTACAAAAATTCTGGATTTGGGTTTTTTGAGTTTACATCTTTCAAAATTGTATTCTAAGTTTACTTTTGTTACACTAAACAAAATCTAGGCTAGTAAAACGAAACTTTCAAACAAATGATATTGCCTCGGTCTGGCAATTATATCTTCTGTCAGAGTCAAACATTTGCCAGTCTCATAAACGCATGACATGACGGGAAATAATGATTTAGATTATGTGAGACGATATATTTGCGGGGCGTCCTGAAAGCCAAAAAATCTTAAATATTAAAAAACAGATAAAAAAATCGAGCTCTGCTAAAACGAAGAAAAGAATCATTGAAAACCCTCCTATTCATATGATCAAGAGGACGATTTGATTTGATTTGATTTGATTTGATTTGATTCAGGATCCGGATCCGGATCTGCTTCAAAATCGAATAGATTCTAAGTGTCTTAACATACGACTGTTTGTACTAGGAGGCTGGTGGAGAGACTAGTCTGGAGGCTGGAGCTTTGGTTCTAGCAGATCAAGGATGTTGTTGTATTGATGAATTTGATAAAATGACAAATCAACATCAGGTGACTCATAACTTTCTCCACCTCCTCCTTCTCCCCCTTATGATCTAATAAGTATTTGTTTTGTTAAGGCTCTGCTAGAAGCTATGGAGCAGCAGTCCATCAGTATTGCCAAGGTATGATTTGATTTTTCAGAACTCTTTTTTATTGGAGAATCGATAAAAAAAATATGGGAGGAAATATAGACCTTATTTAAAGAATTTAAACTATTGGGTGTCTCAAGCATACTAGATCGAGCAAATGCGTAAAATTATCATTGAAATTATGAAGATTAAAACTTAATTTCTGATTTCCAATTTATTTGTATGTTTTAGGCAGGTATGGTGTGTTCACTCCCAGCTAGAAGTGCGATCCTAGCCGCAGCAAATCCAGTTGGTGGACATTATAACAGGCAAATAATATAATAAACTTAATTTGATCACATATCTTCCTCAAGAAAATTATTTCCTTTATCTCAAAGATTCACAACGCTTTATTTGAACCCAGAAATATATCAGGAACCCCATATCTTTTTTTTATGTACAAGTGCACTGCAGTTATATAAACAAAATATCGTCAGAGTGAGCAGAAGAGATTTTGTATACTCTCTGAAACTATAACAAAATGTTCCTGGTATAATCTTAATTTTAAACCACGAGGATATTAGAGATAAGGTAATTTTTAACCGATAAAGGTTTGAATTTTGTGAATCGTTCATGGCACTAAGAAGGGTGAAAGGAACTGAGAAGATGTTTTGGGGAGTATGATTAAAGAAAATGAGAGAGATTCTCTCTGATAGCATTTAATTGAATACATTTGTTTGGCAATTAGCTGACATAAGTGTGTCCGACGTTTAATCTATGTCAGACTGAAATGCCTTGATCTAGAAACTATTATGATGGCATACCCCCATAGGTCAAGGAGCTATTGGTGACAGTCCTAGCGTCCAGTGTTGATTTACTTTATTCAGGGCCAAGACAGTATCTGAGAACCTGAAACTAAACCCTGCTCTTTTATCAAGGTAATGTTTTATCATTAACTGTAATATTTTGATGATTAGAAAATAGTATTTTTAATCTAGTTATAGTTCAGGTTTGACTGGCTATAGGTAGCATGCATAATACATATATGGTTACCTACAAAGGATGTTAATTTAGAGACGACTGAACGGAATTTATTCCGCCTTTTTTCTTCATTTTCGGTTCCTTACAGCTATAAACTTAACAATAACTTTCTCAAATCTTTTTTTTATTTAAATACTATAATGATAATAAAATGACAAATGACTTCAGATCGTTGAATTAAAGTCTCATCTTTTGTTGGTATCCTATATTCATTTCTATTCAAGCTTTAACAACTCCTTTTATCCAGGTCCAGAGTTATAATTTCTCAATATATAAATTATAACCCTATTTTATCTATATTAGTTTAAATATCAATTATAAATCTATTTGTAAATTTTAAAGTAAGAAAACTTAGTTCTGATCATTATCAAATGATTAGCCATTGATTCATGATTGGTGTAGCTAAAAACTATCAAATACTGTTGTTCGAGGCGATATTTTAATTTTAAGACGTAAATCCCAAGGACATTAGATTGTTTTTTTTGTATATTTGTATTTCTATAGTTAAACAGCTGACATATTTCAGATTTAAATTGCTTATTCCTCCCAAGATCTTAATTCTTTATAATCTTAATTTTAAACCACGAGGATATTAGAGATAAGGTAATTTTTAACCGATAAAGGTTTGAATTTTGTGAATCGTTCATGGCACTAAGAAGGGTGAAAGGAACTGAGAAGATGTTTTGGGGAGTATGATTAAAGAAAATGAGAGAGATTCTCTCTGATAGCATTTAATTGAATACATTTGTTTGGCTATTAGCTTTAGCTGACATAAGTGTGTCCGACGTTTAATCTATGTCAGACTGAAATGCCTTGATCTAGAAACTATTATGATGGCATACCCCCATAGGTCAAGGAGCTATTGGTGACAGTCCTAGCGTCCAGTGTTGATTTACTTTATTCAGGGCCAAGACAGTATCTGAGAACCTGAAACTAAACCCTGCTCTTTTATCAAGGTAATGTTTTATCATTAACTGTAATATTTTGATGATTAGAAAATAGTATTTTTAATCTAGTTATAGTTCAGGTTTGACTGGCTATAGGTAGCATGCATAATACATATATGGTTACCTACAAAGGATGTTAATTTAGAGACGACTGAACGGAATTTATTCCGCCTTTTTTCTTCATTTTCGGTTCCTTACAGCTATAAACTTAACAATAACTTTCTCAAATCTTTTTTTTATTTAAATACTATAATGATAATAAAATGACAAATGACTTCAGATCGTTGAATTAAAGTCTCATCTTTTGTTGGTATCCTATATTCATTTCTATTCAAGCTTTAACAACTCCTTTTATCCAGGTCCAGAGTTATAATTTCTCAATATATAAATTATAACCCTATTTTATCTATATTAGTTTAAATATCAATTATAAATCTATTTGTAAATTTTAAAGTAAGAAAACTTAGTTCTGATCATTATCAAATGATTAGCCATTGATTCATGATTGGTGTAGCTAAAAACTATCAAATACTGTTGTTCGAGGCGATATTTTAATTCAAAGACGTAAATCCCAGGGACATTAGATTGTTTTTTTTTTGTATAGTTGTATTTCTATAGTTAAACAGCTGACATATTTCAGATTTAAATTGCTTATTCCTCCCAAGATCTTAATTCTATTTTTAACTAGATCCTCTTCTCTATATATAAAATATATACTTAAAACTTACTCAATGGAAATTTTTGGCTAAATATTAAATTTATCTTAATTTGCAAATATAATATGGTGAAAAGAGTTTAAGTAATGAAAATGTATTATTATTTTCAATTCTTTCCCGAATATACTTGTAAAAGGATAAATGATGAAAAAATATCTCTATTTAAGATCAGAATTCAGAAATAAACATGGATAGTAATTATTGTTCGTGAATCAAATCGTTTCTGTCACTCAATCAAAACGATTAATGCATTAGTTTCCTTATAAGTAGTTTGTAGGATCGAAAAAATTAAAAAAAATTAGTTATATCCAGTTCTTTTCACTCATATTCTATTATATCTGGTTATATCCAGATTTTTCTACTTATTTTCTATTATATCTGATTATATTCAGTTCTTTCCACTTTTATTCTATCCAGTTCTATACTTTTCTATCCTGTATTTTTCAGGTCTATCCAGTTCTATCCGGTTACATTCTATTTTATTTGATTATATTCTGTTATATCTTTTTCCATTTCTAGCTGGTTATATTTTGGTCTATCCGATTTCATCCAGTTTTTACCGGTTATATTCTGTGCTTTCTGATTTTATCCAGTTCTAGCCTGTTACAATATGTTCTATCTAGCTTCATCCAGCTATAGCTGGTTTATTTTGTTCTATTTGGTTCTATCCAATTACTGTTCTGTATGGTTCTTTCCAGTTCTATCTGCTTATATCTGGTTTGTTCAAGTTCTTTCCAGTTCTAGCTTTTTATATCTGGTTCATAACAAATATTTGTGCACTTGAATGAGAAAAGTATAAAATTACAAATGACTAATGAAAGCTAAGTGTATCATGTATCTTTTCATATTTAATCTTACAATACATTGTGTTGCATTTAAGAAAAGGAGATACAGGAAATACAACACTGTTCCTGTGAGTTAATAGAAATATTAGCTAATAATTTTGATTTTTGATAATTGACATAAAATATTATAAATTTAAAACATTTGTAGGTTTGATCTTGTATTTATTCTGATCGATAAACCAGACTCAGTGATAGATTCCTTACTATCAGGTTTAATACATTTTATATTCAGATCATATTTTCATTTTCATTTTTAGGGGTTTTTCGCTTAATTGGGGACAAATGATTTTTTGGTTGAAAAGTATCAAGAAGAATGAAAAAAATTGGTTTCTGATGTCCCATTTTTCATTTTTTGTTCAAAAAATATTTTCAAATATTCCATCGGACTAAGCAATTCTTATCAAATCTAATTGGCGGCTTTATTTGAATCAGTAAATTCGAAAAACCCAGATAATTATTTTTGTTCAGTGTGAGTGTAGATGTTGAGAGTAATGATAAATCCTTGAAATACAGACTTCAACATCAACCTGGAGATATAGCAGAGGACTTTCTACCTACCTCCATTCTCAGGTATTCATCAATATACCTCCATTCTCAGGTATTCATCAATATACCTCCATTCTCAGGTATTCATCAATATACCTCAATTCTCAGGGATTCATAATTAGACCTCCATTCTCAAGTTCTCATAATTAGACCGCCATTCTCAAGTTTTCATAATAAGACCGCCATTCTCAAGTTTTCATAATAAGACCGCCATTCTCAGGTATAAATTCTTCATTTGACCTCCATTATCTTGATTGCATTTCATTTATTTATTTCAACACCTTTCTAGATTGATTATTTATTTTATCAGTATTTTTCAGTATAAACTTCTCCATTTAGCAGAAATATTTTCTATTGACCCAGTTATCTAATATTTGTTTACAAGATAATTGGTTTAGGAAGTATATAGCGTACGCGAGAAAGTATGTTTTCCCTAAGCTAACCCCTCCAGCCTGCGCTGTTCTTCAGGTAGAATATTCTTGATATACGCTGGAAAAGAATAATTAATCATGAACAGAGTGTCCCTGAAGAAAAGCCACATTGTCCTCATTTTCTCGTCCGAACCATCTCAAAATCCTCTTCTTTTTTTAAACGAGAAATTGCTGTGGTTTGCTTTCCTCTGTTGGCAAATATTGTAGTTAAAGATGTTTTGTACACAAATAGAATTAGTACAGTAATGAAAAAAAGTGAAAGATCTGGTGTCAGAAGAAGAATGGTATTGTAAGGTTTGCCTGGAGGTATTAAGCTAGGTCTTAAATAAATATAATTTAGTCCTAGAGGATAAGAATGTCTAGACAGGTTGCTCAGGAGGGGATGGTTGGGGGACTGTGGGGAGAGGAGGGAAGGGAAGGGAATGGGGACAGATGGGTAGGGAAGGGGTACTAGTTTGGAAGGGGACTTCAACGGTTGGATGGGGGGTTGAGTGGAA